TGATTGGGGGGTGGGCTGTGAAGAGAAGAGATGATGCAGTGATTTGGCTCTTGCAGGCTTAGTAGAGGCCCATTTTTTACTACTTTACTGCAGCTACAGCTTTAGTAGAGGCCTATCTGTTACTACTTTACTGCAGCTACAGCCTTGGTAGAGGCCTATCTTTTACTACTTTACTGCCAAGCCTAGGCTTTCCGGAATGGTCCGGAATGGTTTCTTTAAATGTGAACCCTTTTTCGAGGTCGCAAAGCCAGCAAACGCCTACGTAATGGAAACTCCTCTTGCGGACCCTACAAGCCCCCAAAAAAATTCTTTAAATGTGGACCCTTTTAATATTGAGACCCTCGGATTATCCCAAAACCCTTACACCCCCCGCGAAGATCCTCAAGCCCTACCAAGGTACTGAGTTGACCGAGGTGGTCTTGCGCTCTTTCGCCGAGGCGCTCGGTGCAACGCTCAAGGTGGGGACGCTGCAGGGTTGGGGTTTTGGGGTTGAGGTTTTAAAATGTAGTAGGGTTTAGGATCCTGGATTTTAGACTCTAGGTTAACGGTTTAAGGCTAGTGGCTAGTGTTTAGGCTTTGGGCGGCTTTGGGCTTTCGGGTTTGGGTTCGGTTCTTGGCGCCTTTTTTTGTTTTAATTTGGGGGTTTAGACGATTTCGTGTCAAGTATGGAGACTGTGCGGTTTGGATCAAAGGTCTTGGAGTTTTCAGGATAGCAGCTAAAGGTGTTGGTTGTTGGACCAAGACTATCATTGAGATTCTGCTCCGTAGTGGGGAGCAAGTCTTGTTTTTTTCCAGCAGCCCTAGTTTCAGGTCCTCGAACCTTCAAGCTTCTTCGGAGTCAGTTTCAGGTGAGCTCGGATCTGAGCTGTAAGAGTCTGATGGAACCAGAGTCTGAAGCTGGCACCAAGTTTGAGCTCCCGGAGCGCGACAGTCCCAAACTCTCCGGAGCGGGAGGTCCGGAAGATCCGAGGCGACAACGCTCATCACATCGTCGAGGTTGGAGACAAGGGCTCGGAGGGGCTGCCACATTCCAAAGCCCTTTCCGGGTGGTTGCCACGTTGATGGTTTTAGGACTGTTGGATTGCAAGCCGAAGGCATGATAATCCTCATAAACAAGCCATGTCTTATAGAAACACGGACTCCGGAACACGAGCCGCTGGCCGATTCTTGCAAAGAGGGGACCCGTATTTGAAGGATCATGGGGGTTCTTATCTAGATGCAGGACTTATAATAGTTGGTTCCAAAGTTAAAGCGGTTAGTCAAGCCCAATTAGCGGACTTAGTAAGTTACACATAAGAGTCTACTTTAGTATTGTAAGTGCAGATGGAGCAGTTAGGTAAGTTGACTAAGTCAGTCAGCCCAGTTAAGGCGATGAAATGCAGAATAACGTTTCGTTAATCTTGCCATGGTATTTTGTACGTATATACACACCTGAAACGTCTGTATGAAGATCAGCCATGGGTATGTATATATATATATATAGAGATAGATAGATAGATAGATAGATAGATAGATAGATAGATAGATAGAATATATCCCGAACAAGCTCATCGTGAAAGCATCACACAGCACTCAAGCAAGATGTAAAAGCCAATGAACAGATTGAACACAGAAAATCTGCATCAACCCCGAAACCGACACAATGGTAAATCTGGGAACTAGAAATAACTACTATCCCTAAACCCGAGACCATCGTACAACACATCACCGGCTCCATTATAATCAGGAATCCGTTCAAACTTGTCCATGTTCGCAACCATTATATAAACATCGAAGTAAACGTTTATGCCACCTATACACAACCCAGATCCGTATATGTTCACCCGAAAAATAGAAGCCGAAATCAACATCATATAAGAATAAACACATTGCATACATGTAGACCTTAACGCCTTAACCCTATCAGCCCCAAAACCCTGAATTCCCAAGCATCTGGCGGCTGCCGACGTCAACAGCACCTGCGAAGGGGGCTTTATGTGAACACAAACATGAAGCACAGCACGAGTTCTCCTGCAGGGCCGTGGGCTCGCATGCAGGATCATACGCTGTTGCAGCTCACTCCAACAACACAATGGCATCGTTGCCCTTGCGAGACCAAATGCAAGCCGAAAGGTAATGTTAATGAAGAAATTTTCATTTTTCACTCGGTACATGTGTTCCGCCAAATGGCTCCATGGACTAATGCATGTGAGAGGTACACCGTCAACCTCAACATGAAAGTGAATCATGCCGACAATGTTGTCCTGTGCATGCTCGGCTCGGAGAGCAGCGGAGCCCTCCTCCATGCAGAGCTGCCTGTGGCTGGAATGCACCATCGGACTTGCCAAACACATCTTGGATCAGACTGGCTGCGTGGTTTTTGCAAATAAAGGGAACACCACGACGAGGGAGTTCCCTGCATGGCAAGAAACTGTGCGGCCAAGGCCCCAGTTTTGAGATGTTTTGAGCATCTTGTGTTTTCGCTCGTGCACGAAGCTCCAGAGCAACCTGCCATGCCCAGACCGAAAGTCTGGGAATGCGGAGGTGGTAGAAGGCGGTGGCATGGCAACTGGAGAGCTGATGCATCACATACAGAAGCTGGTGAATGCAGTTCGCAAATCAGACGGGCGGCTCCGCAAGAGCGAGAAGGAGAAGGAAGAGGCCAGTGCCAAGTGGGAGCGCTTCCAAGAGGGATTGAAGCAATCATATGTACGGGAGCGCAGCAAGTACCACGAGAAGCTGAAGAAGATCAAAGAAGAGAACCAAAGATGCCAAGAGACAAAGCTCAAGGCGTTGGCGGCAATTCAAGACCTCTTCGTCAATGGCCCGACGGAACAGACGGAGGAAGGCGAGCCGGCTGCCGCGGCCACTGCAGAATGGGAGCACCTCATCAGCCAGGAGGACGATCCGATGGAAGGATTGCCAGGGGTGCTAGCTGCAGCCCTCCAGAGTGGTGGGAAGGCCAAGGAAAAGGCACGCAGACAAATGATGGAGATCCTTGGAATCCGGCCGGACAAGACAGAGAAACTCGAGACACCCCCGCGGAGGCGCAGAGCTGCGAGGAGTGTAACACCGCCGAGCTCCAAGACTACAGAGAAGCCTGCGCCCTCTGGGATGGCGGAGGAGGCAGCCACCTACGGCGGGCCCGCGGCCAACGACGATCCCTACCTGACCTCGCCCAACAACTTGGCACCGTCGGCAGAGACCCCCCTGGAACGACTTCGACCCAGGGCCTCAGGTGCAAGAATGAATATCAAGATGCAAGGCCGAGCTCCCTCACAACCCCGTGTAACCAAGGCCACATTGTCAGAAAAGCTCGAGGCAAAGCGGCGGGAAGCCGATGGTGTGGATGCCATCAACGAGATCTCCGACACCGACGAGGATTTGGCCATCGGCAATCTCCACAAGTCCCACCGAGAAGGTGGGTAGGAGCTGGCAATACACATGGGTGGCTGGCCTGGAAACATACGCTGTGCCTCTTTGTTGAGACACAGGCAATGTTTGTCCGGGGCGGCGATGTTGGGAGCAAGCTGGGGCTTTTTCGGCATGTCCCTGGCTTATTATCATTGCGATGTTTCCCTCCTTGCGGCTTTTTCGGCATGTCTGCAAGGTTCGCAGAGTTTACAGTTTTGTGGCGGTTGCTTGAAGAGAGGCCAAGTGACCATGATGTATCGACACACTATGGCACAGACGATGCAACATCCCGTCGTGCCAGCCGGCCTCCCATGTCTACGAAGGGAGCCAACATTTACCAGAGCCACGTCCCACTTTGGGCACGGCTACACATGATAATGCCCGCTAAGACATCGGGTGTTACAACGGCTACACATGGGTTGCAGTTTGATCATGATGCCATACGGCTACTGCAACAGGCGGCAGCAGGAGTGGACCTTCTGGATTACGTCGAAGGATGGCGATGCTATTTCTGGCATAAGCGATGGCAATTCCTGCTTGGCTGTGCTGAGGTATGCACCGCCTGCCAAGTCACCCTGACCCTCATTGTCACTCTCAGTTTAATGCATGGCCTTGGCAGGGCTGTGAAACAGAAGCACAGCAAAACACATATCAATGGAGCCTGTGCTCGCCCTCGCAACTACTTTTGTGTCCTGGTGGCATTTTCAATTTGTGCCACTGGAACGGCAGCCCCGGGTCAGCCTCCAGATCAGACATGGTGGACCCCCAGCAATCTGGAACTATGGACCAGTGGGCAAGCCACTATGGAGGAGCAGATGCAGCAGGCTTACCAGCATGTCATCGACACAACCTCACTGGAACGGGTGTCAAGAGAGGCACCCTCGCCAAACTTTGAGATAGAAGTCGATGAGGATGCAATTGGGGAAGCATGGTTTGAAGACCAACGACCTACAACACACATCTCGGTGTGGGTCGCTGCCCCATTTTACATTGCTGAATCACTGGATGTGGCGATGAATTTCCCTCTTACTTATGCTCGGTTTGAGGACATGATTCGCTCAGAGCTGCGACACATACCGGAGCATCTTTCCAACCTGACTCCGACAACCCCGCAATTGGACGATGATTTTGCAAGTTACATTGCCTGCCCGGAATGGGCTGAGCTGGCAGGTAAGGTTTGCATCGTCATCGATTGTTTGTCCATTGGTGGGCCAGCTTTCGCAGCATACTTTGATGGTCCCCTCACCAAACGGAATGTCCTTGCTCAGGTCCCAGCTGATGACATATCACAACTGGAGGTTTTCCTGTATGGACAGTTCAACCCGTTGGGAGACGAGGATCGTCGAGAGGCCATGATGGGCGGAGTTGCAAAAGTTCTGCAGAGGGGGCAAGTTTGTGATTGGGCCACCACGGAGCTCACAAGCAGATTGAGGGAGCCGGGCATGTGGAGACCGGACACGGACCACCCTCACCCTGCATCGGGCTATCATGTCGTGTACCAGAGTGTCGACGACCAGGTCATCAGTGACTGCGAAGTGCCGGACCCCGGAGGTCATGAGCAACGAGGCCCTGGTGCTTTAGAAACTGAGGAGGAATGTTGGTCTTTGATGCCAGGAGAACCTCCAGAACACCTGTCCCATGGGGGCAAAATCGTGTTGGCACCCATTGCAATTATGAGCAAAGCAGAGTTCATTCGCGAGGAAGTAACGGTGATCTTCCTTGACCTCAGACAACTCACGTTTTTCCCTCAGTGGATGTCTATCCGAGGGCCGCCTACCCTGGACCCAGGGGCATATTTTGGAGGATATACAGTTTCCTCAGATTCCTGGATGGGAGGTTGTGGTGACTGGAGGCGAGCCCATCACTGCTGACTCCAAAATCACAGTCCGAGACGGGGAGGTGATTACATTCCACTTGCAGAAACTTGAGGCTGAGGATAGCGATGAGGACATGCAGTCCAACGGTGGAGACGATGAGGGGTCCGATTCGGACTCGGACTCTGACAGTGGTAGCAGTGGTTGTACCTTTGACTCCAGCCGGCTACCGGGCCTCGACCCACCGCCACCGAATGATGGCAGGCCGAGGGGACCACCCCCACCGCAGCCTCTGGATCGAAGTCGGTCACCAAGACGAACTGCCTTCACGGAGCCAACCAGCGATGGAGATGGCTGCAAGTTGAGCCTGGCTGACCATGTCCCAGCCCGAACCTTTGACCTCACTCAGCAGACGATGCCCTTCCCCCACACCTTCCAGCAGCTCTGGGCTTTGATGACGCCATGGCCAACGACGTGGCTGCAGTATAGCCTCATTGAGGTCCAGCTACATCCAATAGCCAAACAAGCAGTCCAGGAGGCCACCGATTGGTGTACAATTATGAGCCAGTGGACCGAAGGACCGTGGGACTTCCATCTCTTCACTGATGGGTCGGCGAAACCTGAGAAAGGACATAGCGGCTATAGTGTCGTCGTTCTGCTTCGTATTGGTGCAGCCCTGGCCCTGATTGGGTTAGTTGGTGAGCAGTTGGCCGGCAACCCGACGACAACATGGCCATTGCTTGATGGTAGCGCAATGGAGGCGGAGCAGGCGGCAGTGGCTGTGGCCTT